TTTTTATTTTCTGAAGTCCAACATCTTCCTTTGACTGGCGGCTCTATTAGTTAAACGGAAATGAAAGGGCCATGTTTAAGATATATAAAAGTGGATGCTAAATGCCCCCCACTACTTGTAAGACTTCCATATTCCACAAGATGGCAGAAGACAATGCCAGATTCAATGCAGCAGGGTTTCCAGGAAAACACAGCTACTTTGTGGAAACAGAAGTTTCATATCCTCATTTGGTGATAAAATGACTTTCTGACTGTGACTTCTATGAATGAAAGATGGAAGAAACTGCATCTTTAGTTGATTTTTAAAGTCATTTTTCTTTCAGTGCTTCTCTGCCTGTCGTCTCTTTTGCACAGATGAAACTTTTCCTCGGAGCCGTTGTTGATGGGGACTTCCTTACTGGCAGAGCTGAGGTTCTTTTGCAGAGGAAAGAGGTTCTGAACATCCCTGTGATGATGGGAGTCACCAATCATGAGTTTGGCTGGATTTTACCCCAGGTGGCACCACATTTTCAGGGAAAACTTGTTGTTAATCAGATATCAGTCAGTAGCTCTCAAACTCCAGCCTTTTCTGTTTGATATTGAAGTAACCCAGACTGGTTTGTTCTGCTTTGGATGATCTCAGAGCTTCGCTCCTCCTGGCTGGGAGAAAGGCATGGACAGGGAGTCTGTACTGGCTATCGTCCACATGTTCAACCCTGAAGGGGTAAGTATATCCTAACCACATTCTGTATCACTTAACCAGGTTTAAATGTAGCTAAAATTGCTGTTATTTTCTTTTCTTTGTTTTTTTTAGAACAATCTGGTTCATGAACCAGATACAATTATTGATAAAGGGCGAATTACTGTAAACACATCTCTCTTAAAAATCATTACTTTCTCCAAATATTATCCCAAACAGCATACCAGCCTCAAAGAAATACATAAACTGACTCTGCAGAGTAAAAATATTTTGCTTGAAAAATGCAGAACTAGCTTCACTTAATTGAATCCATTAATGGACCAAAGCTCCTCTCTCTAAAAGAAGGTCACGTGCCTTTGGTTTGGAAAGCTGTTTTGTAGGATGTGATGAAGACTGAAATGAACACATGATCTAGGAAAAAGCAAAGGGAAGTCTTTAATAATGAGAGGACAGAAACTTTCAGAACTGGAATGAGGAGAGCAAGGCATGGAGCAAAGACGGAGGAACAGGAGGATCCAGTAGAATCGGTTAGACAAGGATGAGAACTGAGGGACCGATGTCTTTTCAACAGGTCGGACAGAAGGAGGGACTTTCGTCCATAGTGAATAGCTTTATGCATCAGGTGCAAAGATGGACGGATTGGATTCATATGATCAAATCATCAATATGTCACATCCATAAGCTCCTCTGTTCACCTAAATACCTCAGAGTGACATCATGTTTGGCCATTATTTGATGATTGCTTCTCTACTTTGTGAAAACGCGCATTGTCTCAGAACTTTAATGATTTCTGAAACTGTCTGTGTCCCAGGTCTCTTCAGCTAACAGTCTTATTGCGGATGAATATCTGAAAGATGCAAAAAGTCCAGAGGACATCCGAGACGGCCTCACTGAAGTGATTGGAGACCTGCTGATGGCGCTGCCTGTGCTCAACGTAGCCGGGTACCACACAGGTCAGAGAGAGGCCTCCTGTGAAAACACAGATGAGCGAACCGTCGCACCTCACTTCCAAGGCCTCACCTCTTCTCTCTGGCTTCAGATGTGGGAGCTCCAGTGTACCTGTATGAATTTGTGTACAGCACAGAGATACTCAGGAGACACAGACCCAGCTTTGTGAGGGCGGACCACGCAGATGATGTCGGCTTCATGTTCGGTGGATGTTTCTGGAATGGTCAGATCAGAATTACTGGTTAGTAAACGAGATTTACATTCCAACCACACCCACCAGTTTTATAAATCATTCTTATTTGGTGATTGAGTTGAATTAAAACTGAATTAAAAGACACTGAATGTCAAAAACACAGACTCATTGGTTACTAGTATTAGCCGATGCCATTTTTTGGTAGCCTCCTGAGACCATCCTGATCTCGCGAGCTTTCAAGGTTTCACTCG